ATAATTTCGAACGATTTTGAAATATATATATATATATATATATGTATATGTATATATAAAATATATACGTAGTGATATACAATACAGAAGATATATAAAAGCCATGGGAAAGACGAGAATCATTCGATTCTCCTCGTTATCAATGGTTTTCGTGAAATCTCGCATGCGATTGATCATGAAACACAAATACAGAGGGGAAAAAAAAAAAAAAAAAGAGAAGGAAAAAAGAAATGGAATTTATTTCTTTTTTTTCTATTTTGTGTTTTTTTTTTTAGTTTTTTTTTCGTTTTTTTTTTTTTTTGTACAACCGTACCGAACAAAAACCCATTTACGAGTATCGGTATCGATAATTTGAAGCTTTTGCCTCGTTGGTAGAAATTTTGTTAAAAGTATGTTCGAAAATCGCGATTCGAATTACCCGTGCTGTAATTCGTGGTATTTTTGAAATTCTATTGTATCCTTTCTTTCTCATTCTCTCTCTCTCATTCTCTCTCTCTCTCTTTTTCTCTCTTATTATTCCATAGTAAATGCAATAACCAACTTATAAAGGTCGGTTAGTATAATAATTTAAATCCTCATAGAAATTGTTGAATATTTCGTTTGCAAATCGTCATTTAAATATATATCCGATTAATAATTCGTGGTATTTTTGAAATACCATCGCGTATATTCTCATACTCCTGTCTTTTTTTTCTTTTTCGAATGAATGAGATCAATTTTTTTCATCGATAAATGAAAATATTCGTAATTATATATCATACCGTATGACAATATTCCTACCATCGACAATATTTGTCTATATTTTTATTTCTTTGTCAAAAGAGAATGATACAAAAAAAAAAAAAATAGAAAGAAAGATAAATAGATAGATAGATAGATAGATAGAAAAAAGATTAAAAAAAAAAAAAAAACATAAAGGAGAAATAAATTGAACAAAATATAATATACGACAAAAAGAAATACTTGAGATCTCACAAACAACATTTTGCGAAAGAAATTTTTATTGTCCTCTCGTTGTTAAATTTCATATTACACACATTATATGTTAGAAGAAAATTAAATGTCGAGATTGGAAAGATTATTCGATGGTTAAGTTAGACAAAAAAAAAAAAGAATGAAATAAAGAAATAGAATAAGAGATAAAGACAGAAAGAGAGAGAGAAAGAGAGAAAGAGAAAGAAAAAATAATAATAATAATACTAATAATAATAATAATAATAAAGAGAACGCAGGAATCTCGCATTTTTCAATTCATTTTAAAATGCATTCGTGAATGAATCCAAGCTTTTGTGTAACCGTGTTCGAAAATTAAATAACGTCGCCGACGGCTAAAACTTTGTTCCATATCATTCGCACTGTTAATGGAATAATACAGGCGGGGAAAAGACCTCCTCTCTCTCTCTCTCTCTTTTTCTCATTGGTTTGGCGTATCGTATTGTGTAAGCGCGTTTAAACTCTCTTTTCCCAATTCCAACTGTGATCCCACTTCCTCTATTTATTACATATGCGTATTTATATATCATACATATATTATATATATATATATAGTTACTTTGTATATGTCCGAATATTATTAATGTATAAGAATATATCTAAATATTCAATCTTTCATTAAGGTATTTGTGGTATATGTTAACATTCAATCATGTGAATCTTGACATTCTCTAATTTCGATCTTTCATGGTATAACATATATATGTATATATTTATATATTTGTATTTCATTGATTTGTTTGAATTTTTAAATTGAATACTATACCTGTATATTGGATGGGGATCAATAAGAATTACTATCTAAAATAAACTCATTACCTTTTAATTGTATTAACAATAAGATAAAGCTTTTGAATTAAATCTATTATAACATTTTA